TCCCACTCTATGTTGGCCCGTCTCAGAACTGGTGCTTGTTTCAGGACTTTTGCACGAATCTACTGCTGGTTTCTGGATTTGCTCCCAGACTTATGCACCTCTACCGAGCGGGAGGCAGCTAACTGGCTTCACCGGCTCAAACGGGGACTCGTCTTTCTAGCCCATCCGGCCATTCATCGGCTGCCTTAGAGCGTGCCGGATCGAGTACAAAATCCTCGGGTGTCGTCATCGTTTTTACCATTGGCTTTTCACTACCATAGAAGTCAGCTTTGCCCTGCGCTGCAGCACTGGCTAAATCGCTTTGAACACCAGACTCAGTCGGAGCGGTGGCTTTCAGCGGTCGCGGATCAAAGCCCCGCTCAAATCTGGCGGCACGCGGACAGTCTTACGGAGTACCAAGTGTGGACGGCTTACCGGATCGCAACCAATCAGCTCAATTTATATCACGCCGGACGCTCTGAGGATCCCAGTTGCCGGAAACTCGAGCACTGCAGGGGACGCAAAGAGACTGTCACTCATAAATTTTGTGATTGTTTAACTGCGATGGCCTGCTAGAGCCTATTGCTCTGTCATTGGTCTGGTGAGGGGGTTCAAGAATTCGCTGTGTCGAGTCATTTTCGGTATTTCGCCCATCGACGGGCGCCTCCGCTTCCACCGCGTTTGCTGCAGCTCCTAATGGATCGTTTTGGGGATGATCACACGGCAGCGGCAGATGAATACCGTCGGATCTGGTTAGTGTTATGCTCCTTGTGTCAGGTGCATCTTTGGGTGGAGCGCAACGCGGTAATCTTCCGAGGGAAGACAATCTCTCCGGCTCAAAGTGCCCTTGCATTCTGGCGAAGCGGTCTGCGGCAATTGAAAGCAATTGCTATGCGTGAACATCGGTCCGCAGCTACAGCAGTCGGAGGGGCGCGTCTTCACGCCTGTCTGGACATTCTCAGCCAAGTTCCCACAGGTCGCCAGGCTTCTCTTACTATCAGCCACGATGAGCTAACCGTTCCGGCGCTCATATCCTGGTTCAGGACTTTTCAGACATCTTGCACATCTTAACTTGTAAATAGACGATCATGAAACTCCTCCACTTAGCCAAGAAAGCCAAGCGATCAAATGTGTCAATTGATGCAGCCCTGAGCATTGTCTCTGCCTTCCCACATCGATGCTCGTCACAATCGACGCGCAGCATCTATGACGATCTTTTCCGAAATGTCATGTGTTGGCTGACGAAAAAAGATGGACAATTTGACAAAATGTACGAAGGGCTGTGGTAACATCGAAATGATTTTCGTGAAAACTTGATCCGCTGGTTCCAATGACTCGAGCTTTGCCACAAAAATTGGCTAAGGTCACTACGGTCATCGCGTATGTACATTCTTCCCTGGATGAGCGGCGTCATGTTTGTATACGAAACGCGTCACGTGCCTCTTCTTTATGTATCAGCGGTGTCTCTCATGATACCATGGGGCATGCAAGTGCTTCATTGCATGCGGTTGCGACACCTTTTGCGTCGAGACATTCCGAATTGCACGTCACAAATTGAAGCTGCTCGCCCCTCGTATCGACAGTCAGGACTTCGATAGTGGAATGTTTGACGGCCCAAGTGGCTTTCGTCCCTCGTTGCTCTCATGTCGCTACTTGCGTATCTTTTCGCACATTGTAATGACACAGAGATCATTCGCAAACTGCGAGCATGAGACGTGTGTGTGCGCCAGTCCTTTTCACAGCGCAGTACGCGCAACTGCAAGTGTGTGTAGGCCTTAAGCTGCTGTTGACAAAATCCTGACGTCTTGCCTGCGAGAGGCTTTTACGCTGCCGCTGAACGTATACTTTGTCAACTTGTCGTGCACATTTCAGCAGCCGACGTCTTTTCTTCCATTGCGACATGCGTGACCCCACGGCGGAATAGGAGGATTTGATTACGGAGATGTGTTCTCACCAAGAGCGTTATAGCGTAACTTGCTACGATATATGAGCCCACCTACGAATAGAACACGAAAGAAGAATGCGGTTGTTACGCGCTCGACGTCCGCGTCGGACCGTCGCTCGAGAACTTGTCGCGAAGCGATCCGGTGGCCGGCAGTGCATCTTGCCCTCTGGTCAGGCAGCATGCACTACCACGTCCAGCGTGTTCAAAGAACAGGTAAATGAGCTATTCAGGTGCCACCCAATGCAATTTTGACATCCCTTCGTTGACAGCAAACATGTTGGTTGCCATGTCCGAGCAAGCACCTTTTGTCACATTGCAGCTACCCATCGGCAGCGTTATGATCCGCGCCAGCGCAGCTTGTTACGAAGGTGCTCAGCCCGCGCGTTTGAGGCGGCCGACTGATTCATCGTGTCCTGTTTGCCTTGCAAGCCACGTCGAGATGAACTGCGTGTGCGACGCTGCCACGATATACCCTAAAATTTCAGCAAAAGCGAGTAAATGTAGCACCGACTGTACAAAAAAGGACCACTAACACGCCAATGCAGTGCATCTTTTGTGTGGCTCGCGTCCACCCTGCACAATATAGACAAGTCGATTGCACCAATTCGCCACAACAAATGCAAGTGAAAAAACGAAGTCGTTCAGCGCGCACACGGTCGACTGCGGCGAGCGATGGCGTTTCCAAGCAATATGTCTCGGCTGTCGTCTGCTCGTCCGTGGCCATGCGATGTTTTCGGCATTTTATAATTCCGCGAGAGAAAAAAAGGGGCGGAGCCGACTTCGGGCAGGTTGAATGCGCCGTTGACTGGCTCGTTTATGGCCGCACTGGTCCTACCTGAATTTTTGTCGGCCGCATGCGGTGGTCCGTTTCTACGCGCGCGTCGGCCGACTTCTGGTTAAGTAGCGGGGTCGAGCGGTGGAGAAGCGTCGACCAATCACGAGGCGCGAAAGCGCGCCCATCGATTGGCCGACACGTTGCACGCGGCCCTAGCCCTGGTCGCACGCGCCCTGCTCCCACCGCCCGACAAGCTCATTTCTGCTTTGTCACCGCACAGACGACTCGGTCGACCGAAGAAGAAGAAGAAAAAGAAGACGAAACGACACAGCCCGCATACATCCGTCAAGTATACCTCTGACCATGGGCGACAACAAACTGCGCAAACGCCCTGCCCCAATGGGCCTCGAGGGCCCCAGCAGCGGCACAGGCTCTGCCGCGCCCGTGTTTTTGCAGAAGACTTACGATATGATTGAGAGCTCGCCGCCGGCCGTCGCGTGCTGGAGCGAGACCGGCACGTCGTTCATCATCAAGTTGCCGCGCGAGTTCGCCAAGACGATGCTCCCGCGCTACTTCAAGCACAACAACTTTAGCAGTTTCGTGCGGCAGCTCAACTTCTACGGCTTCCGGAAGCACAAGAAGGACGAGATTGTCATCAACACGGAAGAGGACGAGAGCAAGAACTGGTGGGAGTTCTACCACGAGAAGTTCGTGCGCGGGCGGCAGGAGCTCATGGCGCAGATCCGGCGGAAAACGTACTCGGAGCCGGCGTCGCCTGACCACGAAGAGGTCGAGACGCTCAAGCAGTCGGTGCAGAGCCTGCAGGGCCAAGTGTCCGAGCTCATGGGCCAACTGTCGGACCTGACGGGGCTCGTCAAGAGTCTGCTGCAGGACAAACCCGCGCGGGGACCGCCGCTGTCGGTGTCGGCACCGGCCCAGCGCGCGCCGAAGCGCATCAAGATGAACGACCCGTCCGTGCCCCGGATGACGCTCGCTGCTCCGCCGCCACCTGCCAACGTCCTGCCGGACGCCTACGCATCGCACTTGGACCACGTCGCGACGTCACAGCTGCGTCAGCCGCCGCTCAATATGATGCTGGACCCCATGTCGAAGAGCCAGAGCCAGCGGACAAGAGAGATGTCGCTCATGGAGTGGACCGAGTCGTACGGCATGGACTACTTACTGAACGACTCGGGCCGGCAAATGCCGCTCTTTGGCGAGGACATGCTTAGCTACGACTGATCGCGACGTGCGAGACGTTGTGTGTATGTGTAAAGCCTCTTGTGCTTTTTGCTTGATGTGTGGTGTGTGGGCGGAGGAGACGGGTCGGCGGAAAGCACTGGGGGCTCGACGCGGCGGTGGCGACAGCAAATGCACGTGGTGAAGGGGACGACGTAATAAATCCATTTATATATAGCGGAGACGAGGGGTAGGTAGGTGGGCAAGACGCAGTTGGACGGCGGCCGCGCGAACGGCTTTGGTGAAGCGAAACGGCGGCCGCGAAGCCCCACGGGACGTTTTGCAACGACGGGGCACGAGACGAGCGCGCAGCTGGCTGGAACTGCCCCTTTCTGGCAAGAGAAAGCACATGCGAGAGAGGGTGGGATCGTGGAGACGTGAGGAGCGAGCTAATTGATAGGTGGGAATACAGTCTTTTGTGAGGAGCGAGCTCATTGATAGGTGCAAATACAGTCTTTTGTGAGGAGCGAGCTCATTGATAGGTGCAAATACAGTCTTTTGCGCGAGCGATTGCACGAGCAGCCGCGGCCAGAGCGGCGCGCACGTCTCTCTCTATGCCGCGCCTTTTCTTCGACGTCAAAACACGTAGTTAGTCACCCGCAGCGTCTGAGCGCCGAGTGAGACCGGTGCGTCGTCGCGCTCTCCTCTCCCACGCTGGACAAGACACGACGAGGCAGCGCGAGTCGGCCTGTCATTCCCACGCGCATTCCGAGTCGAGCGTGGCACCGATCGACCTCCGAGTCAATAGTGAAGTCGAGACAAATAGCGCCCTTACCCTCGCGATGGACGCACGAACAGACGGACGGGGTGCGGCTCGTTTGAAGCTGTTCCTGTGGCCTTCCGGCTGGTCCCTTGTGTCCTCAGGAGACGAGCTGAGACTTGGCGAGTAGGCAGCACCTGCTGCTGCAAAGTGCCGAGCAGATGGGATACAAGTGACATAGACGCCACACGATCACCGGAAAAGCCACACAGACTGCCTTCATTAAGTTGCGGATGCAAAACCGGTATATTTATCGAAGTAGCAACCAGTAGCTCCTCGGCACAGCTACCGACATTTGGCACATGCTGTTCCATCAGCGACGCTTCTTTGCGTATCCTTGTGGCGCACCCAGTCTGCTCACGCTCAATTCCTCCTCGTCCTTCTCTTCCTTCCCTTCCTCCTCGTCCTCGTCCTCTTCTTGCAGGTAGGTATTGACAAATTTCATCTATCCAGCGAGCCATCTGTTGTTAATGGACCGATCTATCAATAGGTCTCGTCCGTTTGTCTGTTTGTTTGCGGTATGCGCGCGTTAAATTGACCGCTCATTTGTGCTGATACGTTTGCGATGAATAGGTACACGCTCGTCACGACCGACCGATGTGTGGCACTGCTGAGCTATGACGATGCTGGCTACAGTCTGCACAAACTCGAAGTCGACGCTTTGTCGACTGAAGAAGTGAACGTAATTGCCAGTGCTGTCGTTGAGCGGCCAGCGCCGTGTCCGTCGCAAGTGGCGGTGGCGTACGCGGTCGGGGAAGCGCTCTACGTGCAAATTTTGACTCCATATCACGATATCGCAGACCATGCAGAACCGCTGAAGGGCGGCGATTTCAAGTTGCAGGCAGCACCAACGTGCATGTACAGTATCCAGGCATCTGGGACAAACGGGGACGTCTTCTACGGTGTTATCGTGTGCTGTACGGACTCGATGCTGGCCATTGGGTACATCAAGAACAAAGAGAGGAAAAAGATGTCTAATACCGAGCTTCGGGCGGACCTGGATGCTACCTGCACTCTTCTGGACAACGAGCAATTCGCGGAATTCTTCCCCGAATTTGCAACGTTCACACACACAATCATAGCAGTCGATACCTTTTTGTCACCAGAGAGAGACCAAGGCTGGATTGCTTTTGGCTGCGCTGACGGGTAAGGTTAGCGTGACGGCAATGCTTGCTGTTGTCTTGTTTGCAGCGACTTGACGTTGCTCGTGTGCTGGAACAGACTGGTCCGCGTGTATCATGGGCAGACGTACGAAGGGCGCCTCGGTGGCCCATTCACGACCAAAGACGTGCAACTGAGTGGCCCTGTGACTTGTGTCTCCTTTTTCCTGAAGCGGTCGGCTACAGCAGAAACCGCTAGCTCGACTTGGCGCTGCAATCTACTGGTCACGTGCGCAATTGGCCAAGCGCTGGTGTATGAGAACTTGTTTGGTGCATCGGACCACATTGAGAAAGGCGAGGTGCTGATGGACTCGGACGCATTCGACTCGATCTTTGCGGGTATCACCGCTGACATTGACCTGGTAAGCTTGCTTTGAACTCGTACACGAGAACTCGCGATACTGACCTGGATGCATATGTATGTGTGTGGTAGGACGGAGAAGCTGAAGTCGTGTTGGGAACCGACAGTCAAGTTATGTTAGCGTACAAGGAACGAAGCGATGACGATACCAGCGGTTGCCAAGCCGCGAAAAGTTCAGTTGAGCTCAGTGGCGATGACTCGTTCCCTGCACACGAAAAGGCGCCGACTCTGTCGACGGAAAGTGTGCAGAATATGTGGGACGACCTGGAGATGGTCCCAGTGACGGATACGGATACGTTTGTAGCGCCAGAGCCTGTGGTGGTGCAGCGGAAGTGGCAGCGGTTATCTCGAAGCCAGTGGGACATGGAGACGTTTGGCGCGATCTACAGCTTATTGTGGCAAGACGTGAACCATGACGGAGTACCCGAGCTGCTGGTTGCAAGTTCGACGGGCATCTACGTGTACGAAGCTGATCCAGAGTTTGTCATGCAGAAACTCGAGTGTGTCTTGTCAGCATTGCAGGGATCGGTTGTCGATCGATAGAAAAATAAGTAGAGACAAGTGACAACGCCACCATTGTGATCGCCAATGTTTCTGAAACTTGATCCGTTGCGCACAATATCGTGTTTTGAGTGCTTGTGCACCTATCGAAGCGATGTCTGATTGGGCATAAATGGCAAACGTCTGTCACGTCACATTTAGCAATAATCGCTGCGCTATTGTGACAATGCACGCCATGCGATCGATCTATTCCGGACAATGGCGACTCCCGCTCGCCCGCCACGCGACCCGTCTTCTATCGATTGGACAAACGGTACCAGGAAGACCTAACGGCGTCTCTTTTGGCGCTCCTTCCGGCGTGAGGTCAACGACAGAGGCCACGCCAGGACTCTTCCAATTGCCAAATTTGCACATTCCGTCGGACTTTTCGAAAATCACACGAAACGTCAAGTCGCATTGTCATCAGCTACGACAGGAGGTACAGTGGTCATACTGATGTAGTAGTTCTACTACTACTACTACTACTTCTACTACTACTACTACTATCGCATTGCTCGATTTGTTACCATCGTACTACTCTTACACTATCATGTTGCAATGTTATCCTCTGTCAATTGTGGCGACTGCTAGTGCAGCTGATAACATCGTCGCCGGGACTGCAGACGCTGTACACATTGGACGATGTCTCGAATGTCATATGCGCAGTCATTGATGCGTCCGAGCTTTGTCGCAATGTACACCCCGATGAGTAGGCGATGAAAAGAGCTGAAATGTTTCTTGTATCCAGTGATAGGTGCAGAGCGGATAGGATCTCTCACCGATATCGTTTGATGGTGCAGGAACTTTCGGCGAGCAGCTAGTGAGTGTTACACTGAGTTGTCCGACTTTATCCAGAACTTGAATACCGACGTGGAGATATTTCGGTCGCTGAAGACTGTGATGGAAGACGAAGTTGCCGTCGAAAGCTTCACACCAGAGCAGAAGAGGATGGGAACGTTGCTGCGCAACGAATTTGAGCGTGACGGCATCCATTTGCCTCGTGCTGAGCGACAGCGAGTGATCTCGTTGCAAAGGGATATCACCAAACTCAGCATGCAGTTCCAGTCGACGATGTATGATGCAAGGGACTATGTGGAAGTGCCAGCTAAATACATACGAGGTATGCCGCATAGCATCACGTCCGTGTGTGAGCGCAAGTGGATGAGCCATGACACACTGCGGGTCCCCACAGACCTGCACGTCATGAACACAGTGTTAAAGTGGGTTGGCGACCCAGAAGTCCGGCGAAACATGTACGTTGCTGCAAATTCGTGTGCGAAAGATAATTTGCCGGTACTGGATAAGCTGCGAGCGAAGCGGCATGAACTTGCCCAGTGTTTGGGATTCCCTACATACGCTCATCTAGCGACAAGGTGCGGAACTCGGTACACATGGCGCTTACATCGTCCATACCGTACCGCTCCTTGGTCCAATCATGTGTGGCATGTGCGCTAACTGCTTGACAGTGACCGTATGATTGGATCTCCAGAGGCTGTTGAAGTATTTACTCGAGACATTGCTAGACAGCTGATGGCAAAAGTTCGTGTGCTGCCGTTGCTTTTGGATCCGTTCAGTGCCGCTCACTTGGTGCTTTTGTTCTAGGCTAAGATGGAGCAACAGCTTTTGCTGGACGCCAAGCGGAAACACGAAGGCGGTTCTGTTGACCACGTGTACATGTGGGACTTGCCATACTACATGGGTATGCTCAAGGCCCAAAAGTACGGGATTGACTCGCGCGTAATTGCTGCGCACTTTCCTCTCGAGAACTGTTTGAAAGGACTGCATTTGCTGTGCTCAGCACTATTCGGTCTGGAGTTGAAACAGGTGCCCGTGCTCAATTCGAGCGAGTGCTGGCACGAAGACGTGGTGAAACTCGCGCTCACGCGAGACGGTGAAACGTTGGGCTACATGTACTTCGACTTGTACATCCGGCCAAACAAGTACAACCACGCAGCTCACTTTACTATACGCTGTGGCAAGCGTCTGAGCGACAGGTCGTACCAGAAACCCATCGTAGCGCTTGTTTGCAATTTCAACAAGCCCGCGCCGGACAGCCCATCGCTGCTGGCGCACGCTGAAGTGGAGACGCTTTTCCACGAATTTGGTCACGCAATGCATTCGTTGCTGTCTCGCACTGAGTTTCAGCATCTCTCGGGTACCCGCGCGTCTCTGGATTTCGTGGAGACGCCGTCGCACTTGTTTGAGTATTTCGCGTGGGACTACCGCGTCGTCCGAGAGTTCGCCCACCATTATCGGACAGGTGCCCCGTTGCCTGCTGACATGATGCAAGGGTTGCGTGCTTCCAAGACAATGTTTGCTGCGATGGACACACAGACTCAGTGCTTGTACTCGATGCTGGACTTGCGGCTTTTCAAGGAGCAGCCTTTGCCTTGCAGCCCTCCAACGACTACGCAAATGCTGCAGGAGCTGCAGAACGCTAGTACGTTGGTGCCTCACGTGGATGGAACGTACTGGCACACACGTTTCGGACACTTGATCGGCTACGGTGCTGGCTACTACAGTTACCTGTACGCCCGCGTGTTTGCCGCCGATATTTGGCATACACACTTTAGTGGCCTCCAGAGCCCATTGAACCGTGAAGCAGGCGAAGAATTGTACCAAAATCTGATGATGCATGGTGGAGCCAAGGATCCAAACGATCTGCTTGTCGACGTGCTTGGCCGTGAGCCTTCTCCAGCAAGTTACCTCCACGAATTGGGCGTCTAGATAGCTGTTCGTCCTGCGCGTAATAAAAAGCATGTAAAGAGAAGAGCAAAAACTGGCGGTTTCTACACCTCAAGACTACATTCATCAGCATACGTAGTAGATTGCGAATTCTCGTGCATTATTAGCTCCTTCTCGAAGCTGCTCATAAAAATAGCTAGAGCAATCAGGAACTCTCAACATCAAACACGAACATCGTCAGCAGCAGCAGCAGACGGGTGCTTGGATCCGACCGGGTGCGATAACAGGCAGCAGAAAGCAGGGCAAGATATCGTCTCTCTGCCGGCTGTCGTGTCCTTCCGACCTTCACGTCCACTTATTGCACAACGCAGCAGGCTGCACACGGAGCTCCATTTTTGCCCACATTATCCGGATTGATAGACATCACGTCTGCGTGATGCAGGCCCATCTTTTCCGCGTACATAGAGTTGGTAGGAGTAGAAGCTGCTGAGCTGCAGACACTATCTGCCAGATCCATCGAGGGCACGTCACCAACTGTCTGCTTGTTCACCTCCAACGACTTTTTGACCATGCCGCCAGCTTGACGCCATAGCAGCGCGTCGACCCAAAATGCGGCTTCATCATGGGAGCTCGCTTTGATCGTATACACGCGCTCGTTCAGTTCAATGGTAAAAAGACCGGGGCCGTCTACCGCACAGAAGACGCACACACAAAACCAAAAAGAACATGTTAGTGAGCGAATTGAACCTGCCACATGGGCTCAGCCGAAAGAGAGCGTCTGCATTTTACCAGCGTGGTCTTCCTGAAGCAGCGTGATGACGCCAACTTGGGGCAGATTGAGTGCTGCCAGCAGTTTCTGACCTTGTTTCTGCGAGAAAGCACAGGTGTATACGTGTATACACACACCCCGTGAATAACGACGTGCCAGCCCTGCGGCCGCCTCTCACCCCCGAAAAACAAAACATGCCCCGTCTGCGCACCTTGTAGTACGTGAGGAAGCAGCCATTTGTCTCGAACCAGCGCTTCTGCCACTTGCCTTCGCGCGTTTTTTTCAGCAAATAACCTGCAGACACAGCGTAAAACCCCGTCGAAATCGGCGATTTAATCTCATTTTGACTGCTATTGGCAGCGAAAGAAGAACCAATGGAACGCACCCCGAATCTCCTCCGTGCGGAAGTTGGCCGCGCCTTTGCTGCTGCTGCTGCTGAACTTATTGGAAGGCGACGAGGCGCGCAGGTTGGCGTCCGTGCGGTCGGTCATGGCGCGTGCTGCTCGTTCTGTCGGCTGTAGCTGTCGATCGGTACTGTCTATTGGGAATCGGACACTGTAGTCGGGACAGAGAATGTTGGAAACACTGCGGCCGAAAAACGGTGAAAGTCGCGGTACGATTTAGCAGCGATGGCAAAAAAAGGGGCTAAAAAGAGGCTGCAGAAACTCATGAGCCCACGATTTCACAGCGTCTTACAAGATGAGACGATTTGACGGGTCGTAAATGAATCGAACCCACGAATCAGAATATCAATGGCGACTTGGCATAAAAATAGCTTTTCTTCACTTGTGCGGATCGCTTCGGATGTATCCATTCTCAGCTCGAGTGCCCGCTACTGAGTGGTCTTCTCCTCATTTCGGTGGTCGACGCGTCTGATAATGCTGGTCGTTCTGAATCAACGTCATTAGCTCTTCAATACGCTGGCGATCAATGTGCGGCTGCATTTGCCACGACGCCAGGTACATCGTCACTGTCTCGTATCTCGAGCACTCGAAGATGTCGCTAGCAATGAGCGACTTCGCGACGAGCTCGTGCTCGTACATGGCCAACACCTCCAGCAGCATCAGTTCTGCCAATTGGACAGCGCAGCACAATACAGTAGTCAGCACCATGTCGCCCCTTCGAGCAACACTCATGGCCCACCATATCGGTGCCTGCGGTCTTCTCCTAACGTATTTGCCACGTCATGCACCAACAAGCGCCGCATTTGCGCATAAACGTCTGCCTACAGCTCCAGCATCCAGAAGGTCAGCAACAATGTTATATGCAATGACGACATACGACCAGAACAGAACCGTAGCACAACATGACGCACCAGCGCATCGACTTCCGTCTGCAGCCTACTGCAGCATCGGTGGGCCAATTCCCACAACTGCAACCAATCGACACAGAGCCACAGGCCCAATCGAGGACTCAGCTCACTACTCACTTTGTACCACCGCTTTGTTGTTGTATTGTATGCAAACGTCTCTTTATTGGCGTTTTAGGGTACAAACACACCCGCGACGTCGCCCGACGTTTCAGTGGTCCGCAGTCGGCCAGCGATCCCCAGTGGTCCCCCGTGAGGTATCTGAGCGGCGCGATGTTCGTTAGCTCACCCACATCCACCCGCAGTGTCAGTGCCACACACACACACACACTCACGTGGTCTTCTGCACGCTGTCTGCCACCTTTGCGAGCTGCTCCTGCCCTCGTGCAGAGCGTGTTTGCCACTCGCGGTCGAGTTGCTGCCACGGCCCGAGCCACCAGCAGCTGTCGCGCGCTGCCATGGGTCGTCGAGGCGGTAGGAAACTGTGTTACAGCATATCGATGCTTTTGTACAGGGTCGCTCGGTGTCATCACTGCGGGCGCGTGACGTCGCTTCGTAAGTTGACATTAGCGATAAACTATTACCGAAATAGCCAAACGACGCGCATGACGCGGGATCTGAAGAAACAGATGGACAGCATTCAGCGAGCGACACAAAGGGTTCGGCCGAACGATACGGCCTTCCGACATGCGGATAACGAGTCCCTCTAGTCCACTTGCTGTTGTACAAAGCAATCGGTTGTTGCTACGTACGTCCATTACTGCACTGCTACGCGCTCGTTCTACACGCAAGCGTCGACAAGACGTGTCACCCCTACTGCCTGTGCACGGGCCAAGTTTGTGACACATAGAGCTCTCGCTTCCTACAGTGCGCTTCGTGCTGCTTTGCAGTCGCGGCGATTCGGTCCGCCACAACTTTGTGCAACTGTACAGCAGCGTATTTGCGGGCGTGCATGCTCGTATACGCCGTTTGATTGGTCGAAACACGACGAAACAGAGTAGATTCGAGCCGAGGCGCTCGAACCGTCGCACGCATCTCGACACAAGCTGCATAGCCGCGGTGTCGTCTTAATTTGGGCTCCGTCACTCGCCTCACTTTGGGTCTTCACCGATCACACACTTTTGAGAGAATTGACACAAAGCGGACGAGAAGACGGAACGAAAACATTCGTTCTCTTGCGCGCCGTCACGGCGGGGAGGACACTCGAGATCGCCGCTCTCTCATGGCCCTTACTACGCAGACACGGGTGGACCAGATCGACCAGACATTTCCATCGTCCCCGCTCTCTTTGCGGGCCACGCCGTCCTCTTTCCAGACGACGATGCGCACAACGCGCCACACAAATACAACGTCAACGACGACGGCAACGGCAACGGCAACGGAAACTTCAACGCGCCCGACGACGGCAACTTCAACGACCACCCCAACGACCACGTCAATGGTCACGACAAAGAAGAAGAAGAACGATGCGGCCACGAGCGCGCTCGTGCTGGTGGCCCTGATCTTCCTCGGCGTGCTCGTGGCGCTTGTGGTCATGGCGTTCTTCGCCTACGCGCCGCTGCTCTGTGCGTCGTGGCTCGGCATCATGTACGTGATTGTGCTGTACCTGTCCACTGAGTCCAAGTGGCGCTGGCACGACGCCCAGGAGTTTGAGAACCGCTTCTGGACCGGCACGGCCTTTCTCTTTAGCGCAGCCGTGCTGTACATTCGCGACTCGCCGCTGGCCGTTGGGCAGTGGAACTCGACGCTCGGCCTCGTGCTCGTGTTTGGCTTCACTCTGAGCGTGCACTACTTTGACCGCTTCTTGCACCGCCAGGAGATCAGCCGCCGCCCGCGCTTGAAGACCGCCACGCGCCACCTGTCGCACAACCTGTTCCAGTACAAGGCCACGGCCAAAGAAAAGACCGCCCTCCTCGTCGAGTGCGTGAGCCGCATCGACCGCCAGTACCTGCCCAGCACGATCAACAACATGCTGAACCTCGCCGAGGTCAAGCGGCGCGAGCACAAGATCTTCCGCATCCTCGCGGGCGCCGGCAAAGACGAGCTGAACTACGTGGTGAACCACATCCCGCTCGCGCTGCTCTTTTACAAGGTCAAGGACCACTCGAAAGTGCGCGAAGACCAGAGCCGGACGCTCATGCTCGACCTGCTGTGCACCACGCGCCTCGGCGACCTCTCGGTCATGTCGCGGGCGCTGCTGCTCGACGCGCTGATGGTCATGAAGATCAGCGCGCACCCGCTGGCGGAAAAGTGGGTGCGCAACATCATCCTCAAGACACAGGGGGACGACCTCAGCAACCTCAAGACGTACACGGACGCCAAAGGCGACTTCCACAGTATGCACAAACTCGTGTTCAACGACATTCGCGACCCGACGATCCGGACGGACATTATCAGTCACATCCAGCGCGAAGCAAGTGTACAGATTGCCCACACGCGGCTGGGGACAAAGCGCGGCCGCAGTCGTAAGCAGCAGGCGTGGCGCAAGGTGCTCAGTGACGTGGACGACACGCTGTACTCGTCCGGTGGACGGTACCCAGCAGGACTGGACACGCGCTTCCCTCGGCACACGCTGTACCCGGGCGTCCTGGCGTTCTACCGGGAACTGGACATGGGCACAGTCGGGCCGGATGACTGGACAGACGACCGCGTCGGCAACCTCGTGTTCCTCTCGGCACGTCCGCACGTGTACAAAGACGTGTCGGAGAAAAAGTCGTACGCGAAGTTTGCGGCGCTGCACGAGAAGATGGGAATGCACACGCTGCCTACGCTGCTTGCCGGGAACCTCAAGTCGGGTCACGCGTTCATGTGGCAAGGGGACTTGGAACCAATGGCACAAAAGAAGTTTGAGAACTTCAGTGAATTCTACCAGCTTTATCCGGAGTTCAAACACGTGTTTGTCGGGGATAACGGACAAGGCGACGTGCGTGCTGCGGAGCTAATTGTGGAGAGACTTGGCTCGGACGCATTAGAGGCTGCGTTTTTTCAGCGCGTGCAGCCCATGGAAAAGATGTACAACTACCACTCGAAGGAGGATTTGAACCGCTGGCGCGCAATGAACATATTTTTCTTTGATACGTACGTGGGTGCAGCTGTCGAGGCTTTTCGTACGAAGAGGATCCGACTTAGTGGACTAAAGAAAATCTGTGATGACGCTGGACGGTCATTTGAAGGCATTCGTACGTGGCTCACTCCGCAGAGTCGCGAACGCGCGCGATTGATGCTGAACCGTGACCTGGAAGTGGCCAATGCGCTGCTCTGTAAAAAGTATGACCCGTCGCCGCTAGTGATGAAGCCGCAAGTTTTTGCCTTGAATTCGCTCGTTCGCACGCCGGTCGGACGTGGGATCGTTCGCAAGTTCCGTGGGGTTGATGGCATGTATCAAGTGCACTTGACGGAATGGTCGTTGTCGCCAACGCGTCAGGAACGGATACAAGCTTACTTTACCGAAGAGAGCCTCACTGCTGCTCTAGGCACGTATACATCACCGCCAGCCACGAGCTCTTTGCGGTACGTCAAGTTCTACCCAGCCCCACCTGCTCGCGTCTATGCGTCACACACGCTTGTAAAAACCCTATTTGGAATCGGGCGCGTGATGAGTTACCGGGCAGAAGACAGAATTTACACGGTATCGATCCCCGGTGACCAGAATATGCTGCATATAACGGCTTTTCTGAATGGGGATTCGCTGCAAGCTGTCGATGACGCATTCTTGAAAAGTTATGCGACGAGTGATGTGGCGTCACCGCGAATGTTCGCAGGAGTGCGCTTTGGCATCGGCTTCATTACGAAGAAATTGATTACGTTCGTACCAGGCAGCTCCGGTGTAAAGCCGTTGTTTTCTGTTGCGGTTGTTGTGGATTCGCCCTTCGGGCGCGGCGCGGTCATTAACTTCCGCGGAGAAGATCGCGTCTACGAGATCCGGCTATTTCACGGTGAGACGAAAACGCGAAGCGGCGACGCGGCTTCACGTACAAGTGTATTCGTACAAGAGCAGTGTTTGCAGCCCCCTCCTGTGTCTCCATCTCGAAGCTTCTTCTCCATGCTTGGGCTGAGCTCAGGCAAGAATGCGGTAGCACCGACGAGCACACCTGCTCCGGTTGGCTCTTGTGTTACCACGATATATGGCAAGGGTGTTGTCTGCAGCTACCGTGCAGCTGACGGCGTCTATGAAGTTGCATTGACCGATTCAGCTCTCGCCGATGGTCATGACGCTATGGCTTATCTTAGACGGGACCTCATTAATCCAGCAGATATGACATCGGAAGCTGTTTCGGGCACGACGAAGGAGCCTTTGACGGATAGAAAAGGCCATGCTCCTCCAGGGAGTGGTGGCATCTTTCAGTTGCTCCGGTATGGGTTTACGACTTCCAGCACGGGACCGGCGGCTGTTGCCGTTCCGTATGCTGATGAGACTGGCGTTGAGCACCAGATTGACACCATCTTCGGTCTGGCCACTACGGCAATGAGTCAGCCGTACAACGGGTGCTACAAAGTGTTTCTCATGAACTCGGATTACGATGGGGTCGTTGCGTACGTCCAGGCAGACCACGCGAAAGAAGTTCTAGTCACCCCGAAACGAGCGAGGCGTAACACGCTCGAGCTACTGGCTAGCCCATTCAGCTACTTGCTTTCTAGCAACACGTATGACCGAAGTGGTTTGACTGACACGAAGACTTTGTTTTCCAAGGGAGCGCTGGTATCGACACCGTTTGGTGAGGGCACTGTACGCTTACACCGATGTGTGGATGATATTTACGTGGTGGACTTGCCGTCAATGCACGGTTTCTTCCGCGCGAGCAGCCTCAGGCGGCCGGTGCGTGGCGTGGTTGGACAGCCGGTTGATACAATCTATGGATCGGGGATGCTGGAGCAAGTGCGTGAAGAGGACGGAGTCCACGTTGTTGCTCTACGACTCGGTTTAACTACTTCGGAAACTCGTGCATACCTGCACCCGTCCAGCGTGATCCGAGCGATCAAGGCATCTCGTGGTGACATGGTCATGACGCCTTTTGGGTCGGGTGTGGTGATGCAGTATCGTCCGCACGACAGTTTCTACTGCGTGGTTCTGGACTGGGATTCGAATGGCCAGAGCCGCGCATCAGCCTACATAAGCGAGGACAGTCTCCTGCGCACGGGTTTGGTGGAGAAACCCCCATCCGGCTGCGTCGTTATGTGAAAAGTTGAATAAGTTAATTTTAAAACGCATGTTCGTGTCCGAACAACGCACCCATTTTGTCTCCGAACAGGGATGCCCATACAAGAAAGAGGTCCAAGATGCTGCCTCAGCACTGTCGCGCTTGTTCCGATCCTGGCACTGTGAAGTCTGGTGACTGAATTGAACGTCAATGGTGTTCTCTGTTACGCCTCGTCAGGTCGACAAGGAACAAACCCATCAAGCAAATCGTGACCAGAGAAGTGGACTGACCGTCTTGGGTTGCAGGCTGTTCACTCCTTAGCCATCATCGACTTTCGACTCGAGTGAACATGTCCAAAGCGGCCACCCCTCGTGCACGGTTATATTCGGTTATCCGCCGACAGGTCTTTCTCCCAACGGGTGCAGCAAAAAAAACTCCCATCTCCCTCCCGATCGACTACCCGTCATGTCCACGACATTACTGATTCTTTCGTCGACGCACCATGCAGAGCCCTACGAGCGAGACGAGTTACGTGATTCCAGTGATGACTCCTCGAGCGTGCGGTGTCTTGCGTTCAAATGCAGCCGACGCGAAAGAGCGAAAGATGATGCAGAACAACATCGATCCAACGACACCCAGGACCGCGCACGTAACTGAGGTCATGGGATACAATGGCAATGACTGGGACGTTCCTTTCTTCAGCTGCTTCTCGGCTGCTCTTCCTAGCTGCTGCATGTCCACGTTCTGCCCGTGCGTAGTTATGGCACAAGTCCGGGCCCGAATGGACGATAACTACCCGAACGCACTGATACGCTACGGGGCTGCAATCGTCGGCCTCGTGGTCTGCGTCCTTCTCTTCATCTCACACTGCGTCACGACCGACACGCACAAGGCGCCACATGATCGACGTTATGGTGAAGTCCGCTCGTCTACCGCTCGACAAATTCTGTTCTGCTGTGGAGCACTGTTCTTCTTTGGCCTTCACACCTGCTCCCTGTGTCTCTTGCGAGTGCGTGTGCGGAGACAGTATGGAATTCACGGCCACCGCGGAAAAGACGTTCTCGTTGCTGCATGCTGTGCGCCGTGCACAATATCTCAAATAGCGTCTCAGGTGCAGAGTTCTGCTCGAGATACTCGTACTCGCGAGCAGTGCATTATTGCTGACACGCTTCCTCGGTACCCAGCAATACAGATCACTTGATACCCAACAAGACGTACCCGTCACACTAACCTCATTCCCTGTTGATCGATGCCCACTCACAAGCTCAACAAAGCCTTCGTCCCCTCTGACTATAAAAGTGGCTCTATATGTAGTCGAACAAACGCGTCGAAAGCGACGACAGACACCAAATCCGTCTCGGCATTCCATCATGACAAATGTACATCTTCAATCGTTTTTGCTTTTGTCATGTTACGTCGGAGCTTCCATCGCGGTGGGACTCGTTTGTGTCGGAGCTTCACCACTTGGACCGAACATGATCGAGTCGGGTCGACGCATTTACAGATGGCGGGGAAATTTTGCCAGTGCTGGTCACGTGCGTGACTTGTTACGTGCTCAGCGTGTGTACCGCACGACACACGACAAAGTTGGATGGACCCGAACTTTCGGCTCACCATACGCGAAAGACAGAGAGAGAGAGAGAGAGATTCATGACTGTCTATTGCACATGATGGTTACGCGCTAGAAGTCTGAAATCTTCTAAGCCTAGAATACAGCGCCGGTCGCGGCGGTGGATCAAGGCACCTCTCTAGTGGTAGCGAAACTCCGCTAGCCTCAAGAGTAAAAAGTTCAAGGGAGGCATGTAATCGAGCCCCTCGAAGAACTGTCGACGCCCCTCTATGCTCACGCATAGCCAAGGCCGTTAATTGACGGACGCCGGTTGTCCAGAAATGGACGACACTTTGAGCCGTCGTAGACTGCACGCCTCTGAACACGGCATCGTTGCGCTCGCTCCATAAATGCGTAATGCAAACGGAACACATTAAAAACCAAATCCGTCGCCACACCTTTTCCCCCGCTGCGGCATCATCGTGAAACCGCTCGAGCAACCGAGACCGCTGAAACGCCGGGATCGCCGGAGCCTGTCGATTCGCACAGTTGCTGAGACAACTATGGACTACCGCACTCGACACAGAAGCGCCGATCCAATGGCTGATGAACTTAGCCCAGCACGCCCGCGCCTTCTGACAATCCCAAAAGACGTGCCTCGACGTTTCGGGCACCCCGTGACACGTAGGCAGGGCCCGGCAGCTGGGGTCGGCAGCCCGCCCGGCATGATGAAAATTTAGCTGCTTGGTGGCGACTCGATACGCCGTCCAAACTTGATAGTCGGAGAGTCCGTTATCATGTTTCCAAAGTTGGGATGGTTGCTGATGCGCCGCCGCCCTTAGCCACGAATCCTCTCGATAGACTGCATCCAGCCGCTCCAATAAGGGTAGTAAAGGCCGAGTTAGTCGGTGTTTGTGCAGCGAGAAAGCCCGGTGCAAAATAGCCTGACGGAGAGCTCCATTAGGAACCGTTTCGGGTACTCCCCACGCAAAGTGGTGGTGACTTGGGTGAGCATAAAAGACCACGCCGTGCTGCCGGATGTGCGTAGCCCATCGCTGGCTGTCACCGTCCGACGCCGTGTGGAGCTCGGGTAGGCCGTCTTGAAACAACCAATGCAGCCCATCGGAGCCCTGGCGTAACTGCACCATTCCGTCTCTCTCCTCTAGTGAATTCCTGCGAGCTCCCACGACGCAACCCCGACTCACAGTGACCCAGTCATATTCATAACGAAATGGGGGGGGATGCCGAAGAGATAATGCTGCCGCCACGCCCAATTCTGACCCGACCGTACATAACGGAGACGCCAATAAAATTGCTGTCGCCCACCGGCGAAGCTTCGGCTGGGAATACGTGACTCCCTCTGACCGCGAGGGCGGGATGGTGAAAACATAGGTGGTCGGGCCCGTCCTCCAAATGTGCAGGTCAGCGATAGAGCAGGCGGCTATTTGATTGAACTTCGAGTGCAACAACTTCACACCTTTAGCATCCCGGATCCACGGATTGCCGGACCAGCCAAACGTCCCCCAAAATTGACGCACCGCGCGTAGTTGATAATCAGAACCCTCCGGAGGAGGGACTTCGTCAGGTAACGTAGTGGAAAAGTGTAGTTCCCAGCCACGCCCTATCCATCGACTTACCGCTTGTAGTACGAGAGAATCAAGAAAAGACGATGTCCGATCCCGTCGTTGACCAGCGTGCGCCGCCGACGGCTCAAGAAGCAAGTCTAGATCTTTAGCCACGAAAGCCAGCGAAGACCTGCTGATGCGTAAAGGCCGTTCCCGGCTACGCAGCCATGTATGCATGACCATACCCGAACCGGTAGATCCGCCTTGGTACGCCCAGGACCTCCAAGCATTAAAATACTTGTCGTGCGATTGGGTGAGCCAGCGCAGCGCGTGTTTGGTCCGTTGCGTTTTGATGGCCACCTCCACCGAGGCTAGACCAACCCCACCGGCTTTCTTCGGCGTGTACAGCAAACCAGGGTTGATTTTATGACGGCGCGCGTCCGTCGAGGTCGAATGGTCCCACAAAAATTGTTTGTAGAGATTTTGAATGTCTTTGCTGACCCATGACGGGATCTCAAAAACGGCCGCCGTGAACAGGATCGACGGTAAGATGACGGCGTTTAGAATGAGTACTCGAGAAGCAACACTGGTCGATATTTGTGAAGCCGTGAGCAGACGCCGCTGCAGCCGGCGAATTCGGAGCGCCCAATTGCGATGTTGGAGATCACCCGTCCCAATCTCGTACCCCAAGTACCGCGTGGTCTCACCCGCTTGAAGGACCGAGATGCCGTGGAAATCAACTAATCGAATCGCGCGGTTTAAGAAAATCAGTTTGCTCTTAGCCGGTTGCGCATGCAATCCGGACAGAGCGCCAAACTGTTGCACGAGCTGGAGCGCCGCCGGCAACTGTCGTGCTGCCTCGAGAAATATGGTCGAGTCATCAACAAAGGCGGAAAAGGTATGAGAACCTGTCCCGTCGCCTGGGACCGGAAGACCGCTCAGGTCAGGAGATTGGTGAATGGCCAGCCCCAAGAGCTCGACCGCCAATAGAAAAAGAAGAGGGGCGAGTGGGCACCCTTGTCGAATGCCTGATACCACGGGGATAGGCTTGGAAAGCTCACCATTGACGAGAAACGATGCCGTCGTCCCTGCATGCAGCCGATTAATAAGCTGAATATAACGTTCGTCGAAACCAAAGCTGCGTAGCGCCTCATACAAAAAGTCTCGATCGACCGTATCGTAAGCCTTGCGAAAGTCGAGTAAAAGGATGGCACGGCTATGGAGAGCCGTGCGAGTCTCATCGTGCCGAGCCGTGGCTATTTGAGCCAACATCATCATCACGAGCTTCATCATCTGCCTGCCGTGAACAAAACCTTGCTGCGACTGCCCAATAAGTAGCGGTAGAACGCGCTGCAAGCGCGTGGCCAGAACCTTGGCAAAGATCTTGTAGCTTGTTTGCAGTAGGGAAATAGGCCGATAGTCCATGGCATCTGTCGAATTCCCCTTCTTCCGTAAGGGGATAATTAGGGCCTCGAGAAAGGAGGGCGGTGGGTCGGCGCCTTCCAAAATTTGGTTGCTGATGGCTACAAGAGCTGGAACGAGGAGAGCAGGTGTATCTTTGTAGAAGTCATTGTTGAGACCATCCGGCCCCGCTGCCTTATGGCGACTGAGACTGGTGACAGCCGTCAGAACCTCCGCTTCCGTTACACAGGAAAAAAGAGCCATATTATCAGCACCAGACAGCTTCCGGGCGCTGGGGACGCGCACGAACCGTCTGATGGCCGAGGGCAGATCTCTGAGAGACGTCGTACGGTGACTGATTCCCAGGACGGACGACCACTCGGACGCAAATTTATCAGCAATTGACAGGTTCCCGACAAAGGAAGGACCGTGGAGCTGAAATATGTTCGTGACGCACTGGTCGCGCTCCCAATTAGACACCCGTTGGAATGTCCATCGTAACAGATCCGAGGACCGCTCGAGGCGC